AGATTATGAGGAGTTATTAAATTATGCAAACAGACATTAATATAGTATTAGTGTTTTATGTGAAAAAGCATTTTTCCTACACTCACCCGACAAATTTGGCGTCATTGTACTGTTTATAGTACAGAAAGCTGCTAATTGCTGCATATTTATACTTTGTCGTACGGTTTATAAGGTTCTATTATGCACGTATTCCGTGTACGCTTGGAAATAGGTGTAGTAGGCCACTTTGCCAACTAGTTACACAAATAACTATTCATCGTATTTTAAACATCAACCCCGAAAACTGCTTCGTAGCCTTTGCTGTCCCTGAGATTTTTAGCTCTTATTATGGTTGAATATAGACATATTGAGTTGAAATATATGATAAAGGCGTAAAACAACATCACCTAAAAAATAAATAAATCCTTCGAAAATGGGTTGGATGTAAAACGATATAAAACATGGAAGTTAGTAATCTTTTGTGAATTTTTATGCTCCGGGATTAAAAATACATCACTCTTAACCCTTGAGGTTTTTTCTCGAATCCTTTTATTTGCCTTACGAGCCAAGAGTGAGCCAAAGTCTTCCAGTAGGTTGATCTAAATTCAAAACACGTATTACCACAATTATAACAAGTTTGTATTCTAGTCTTCTTGTGAGACAGTAGTCAGACAAGAGCCAAATGTGATTTCCGTGCGTCTCGGACCAACGGAACCTTTCCCGCCAGTCACGACCTTCCCTCCAGAACCGCGCTGCTGGACGTGCGCTGTCCACGTACCCGGAGTAAGATTTAGTGGAACGCTAGGGTTAGCTGGGGAGAAAGTACTGAGTACGATAAAAACTGTACTTAATGTACCGTTTGTTCAACGTGACATGGGTGTGCGCTTTCTATAATAGGTACTAAAGATCCAGTGGTCGAAAACTTGACCAAAAATATGGATTGTGAAAACTTATCTATTATACTCCACGCTGTATATAAAACATGTGATTGGAACTTCTTCAATTTGATTTAATTTTCGTTTTTATTTCATCACAAATATATTCACAATGTATTCACTTGCAGTACTGTAAATACGGTTTATGTAGTACGGTAAAAGGCATTTCCCACCTCCATCGACTGCATCAGAAAGTAGCCACCTTTAGTACATACTAATTACATAAAACCCATTTCTTGCTTGTAGAGAAGATTAAGCTATTGAAATCTTTTAAAAGATTATGATGACTTGTTTGAGTAAATTCATGCACATTTTAACTTAAATTTAATGAAGAAATATAATTATTGTGTGATGCATGAGATGATTGGATAGCATAATTTCACAAGATCAGTGATACTGTATCGCTTTAGCAAAATAAAATCATCAGGGATATAATACATCCTAACTTTGTTGTTCCTACAGTCTTCAAAGATGCGTACATTAAAATCACTCGGCAAATTAAAAGGCATTAAGTTGGAAATCGTTTAATTTTTTTTACAAAATGTGACCACTTACAATTTATATATAGGATAGTTTTATTGACTGTAGGAAGATTGGGTATACAGTATTTATTTACCATACAATAACCTTTTGGAATCAGCTTCCACTAAATGTTGGGTATTACAAGTTGTATTTAAATAAATAGTCATCCTTTCCCACTTAAAATGTAATACAGTGTGTCCCGTAACTCTCTAAACACTTGTATATAGCGTTATTCCTTAGGTCAAGACAAACACATTTCACCATAGGAACATGGGTCTGTGGTGTCTAGTTTACTGACTGACGGCATTTATGTGTTTTTTACATAAACATTAATAACTCCTAAACGGTTTGAGATACAGCTTTGATATTTTGCAAAAGTGTTAACCTTATTAAGACCTATTATCGTTAGGAGTTATACTAAAAGATCATTATCCGTTTCAAAATGGCGGCCATTTAAAAGATTTGATGCCAAATTTCACGAAAACCGTTAAATTTACAAACAAATTGCAAGAGACAAAAAAGTTTGTAAATTTTATGAAGTTTTCAATAATACCTTATTTGTTAAGATTGTATAAATAATAACAGAGAAACGTGTTGTTTTTCGTAATGTATGACCACTTTTCTCCATTTAAACAATGCTAATACTCCTTTTACGTTGTTTAGCATTGTTTAAATGGACACACTGTATGTTATCACTTTACCAATATTTGATTCGATCTTCAAAATCTAAAGGGTTATAATTCCTCTATTTATTGTACAGCATAAACAATACAAGGCAAACTCAGCATGACATAAATATAAACATAATATTAAAAGCACTGGCCCCAGTATGCTCCCCTGTGGTACTCCACCCTCAGTGTATCGTACGATTCGGTTGACTCACCCAATGCAGATTCTCTCTTATTGCTGATCCTGTCTGTTTGCTTATCCTCCCTTCGCCGTTCCAATAACATGCTGTTACCACCGAGCCCGAATACAGGGGTTCAAATTTGGGTCCGTGGGTGAAAATTGGTCATGAATGAAATTGACACTCAGGAAAATCGGTGATTAGCTGCCGCAACGCTTTTATTCCATTTATTTTTTATTTTTTATTTTACCTTCCAACGGTCAAGAACCAATTTACAACATGTTGTATAGATGACTTAATCTAACTTAAACATATACATACAAAATAATTTTTGACAATGACACGCAGTAAGTGAATACAATTTGATTTGAACAGTATCGAAATAGACGTACACAAAGCAGAACTTTAAATAACAACCAATGAACAAGAACAACAAACAAGAATAGTAAGTGAAAATATAAATGAACGACAAAAATATATGAGTTTCAACAATAACAATAAATATATGAGTTTTAAAATAACAATAATATATGAATTTCAACAATAACAGTAAATATAATTTCAACAATAACAAAGAAAACAAGATTTGTAAAAAGAGAGAAACTTTTATTGGTTTAAAAACAATATAATAACAGTAATTTTGGGTGGTAACTATGATGAGCGGTGGAAGTCAGCCAGTACCCTCTTCTGGATTGTTTTTTGGCTGTCTGTGAAGATGTCGAAAGTTTAGCTGATGGTTTTTAAAATTTAAAGGAACATGTTTTTTTTCTGTATTATGAAACATGTTAGATTTCAAAGGAAAAAGTAAAAATTGTAACTGAAAATTCAAAACTATGACTGTAATGAATTGATTGAATTCTTCATTGGAGATATATACTGAAACTTATTTTTTTCAAATCCCTAACAATGCATTTATTTTTAAGGTCGAGTACTAATTAGTTAAATATTCCACGATACGGTTTATTATAAACTATAGAAGTTTTATAAGTATTTTTAACACTATCTAATGCCTTCAACTATATAGCTTTACACGGTTATTCTAATTCAACTAAAATGTACAACGATAAACAAAGGAAGTTAATGAACAAAAACTGTAATCCCTTCATAAAAGGAATTCAAGAAATTTTTGATTTTAAAGTGCGTCTTAATAGTTGGCAAATTTTACTGATGTGTCAAATTTTGGTATATATTTAATCTCAAGCTATTTCATTAAAAAGGGAATTTTTTTTCGTATTCCGTTTAGTAGGCCTACTTGTTGTAAGTAAATTTATGAGATTTAAAAAACAATTTACCACTGAAGAAACCCTATTAAAAATAATTTTAGTTTTATTGGCTACACGTAATTTTTAAAAGCCAATTTTGCTGTCCAGATCAAGACAGAAATAATGAGAATTTACTCTAATCCAGGTTCCATGATAAAATATATTTAGCACATTTAATTTGTCTAACAAGAAAATAAATACATTAGTCTAATGATTAAACAAATCTTCTAGTAACATACTAAAACTCACTTGTAATAGGTGCAGCATTGACTTATACCGTTTATTCCCTAGACAGTATGCACTGTATATACATTATATGAAGAGTTGCCGTGTAGTTATCAGTATTGATTCGCCAGACCTGTTATGATCTGCATATTCATGTCACTGATGTAGTGGTAGTGGGTCTTTGAAGTCACTGATTCGTGTAACCTCAACCTGGCTGGTGAACGCTTTAAATCTTATAGGAGAAACTTGTACAATCTACGGTATCTTCAGCTAGCTGAATGCCAAGGATTTTGATTCTCGTTTATCTGTATTGAAATGAAAATGAAATGAAACCAGTGCTTTATTTTCATTAAAACAATGCATTACAAAAGAATAAGATTTTTCATAAATAACTCTTCCATAAGGTAAATCTACAAAGAAAATATCTACATACAACCTTGAATCACACTTATTCTAGCGTTTTTTACCTTAATATCATTTTGTTTTGTTTTACTGTACTATATCAGCATAGCCCAAAGGACTGTCAGCTGGGCTGGCAGCTTTCATGTTAATTATAATATTACAAAATATTTTTATTTTCTCCTTATTTTTCATTTCACCTTTTTTGTAAATAGGTATTACTCTAGACATTTTTAAGCAGTCTAAAGATAACTAATGAAAAAAATGTTCCCAAGATTCACTGAGTAAGATTTCCAATTGCAAGGCATACATTATATTTTGCTATGTACGTTTTGATAATTATTTAGAATAATCTGTTTACAAACAATCATCTAAATACTTTCCTATCACAACATGAACATCTAGTGTTCTCCCGTCTTGTGTCTGGTCTAACAAGACGGATCTCAACCAGACAAGACGAACCCTTGTCGGTCCAAATTGCTGAAGAGTTCATTACCAGGGTTGGGGCTACATTCTTTGTATTTGCATAAGCCCAGCACTGCTTCATCTCTATATATTATGCATAAACCGCTCCGCTAAGGTGCTTTGCTTTTCTATCTACAATGGAGAGGCTGTCTTGTTCCCATAGTATTATCCTGTCCTTCCCTTCTGAATGTGGGATTGTACAGGGTGTTATGCTAAATCTTACCTTGTATACTTCACAGTGTTAATCTAAAGTAGTTAATTACATTAGAAGATATTGAATATTGTGAAACGAATTTCGTTCACGAAAACCGAGAAAAAGTAAGCCATTAATAACGTGGTACTAAAACCATGATAATTTTGTTTCAGATGGGCAGTGAACATGTTCTCAAGTTGAAAAATTCAACAATGGTAAAACAAGTAAGTTGAACAGTTATAATTTGTAATTAAGTATAACGTAGCATAAATTGAAGTACTGATTAATACTTTAGAGTTTTATTATAACCATTGGTTAATTTAGTGTGTTAGTAAAACAGTCGTTTAAGTTTTTTACAGTCATATTTTACACTTAAAAAATATAAAATAACAATCGGTTTATTTAATTCTTTGAAAAACTTTACAAAACAGTTTAACAATTTGTTAGTTATTCGCTAGTTTTAAGAAGGTAATTACAGATTCCTCAAGAAATACACCTTTAACCCAGGTACCCCCAATTAGTATGGCTCTATTCACGTTTTGTATCAACCCAGGGCTGTGATCCGCAGCTCTCGAGGTATTAAGGATGATATTTAGAAATGAAATAAAAGCTGGCCAAGCTAAACGTGTCTAAACCAAAGATAATTTACGAAGATACTATATAAAAAGTAGGGGTGAATCTGTATTAGTGAAATAAAAAACTCCTAAACTTAACAACCGTGAACTAAACGATGATATTTTATTTATTCCCAAGCAAATTTACTGCTATGTTTCTTCTTTTGAATCTGCATTGTAAAATTAACTAGAAACACCCAAAAATCACCACTATGGAGAATATCACACACAAATTAAACGACCAGGAATTTAAATATTCCTAATCCGCCACAACTAATGTTTACTTATAAGATCACATACGTATGTGCTACGAATGACGATTCTCAGCTTACCGTAATCGGGCGAGCGCCTCGCCTCAGCGCATTTGAAAAGCAAATCTGTTTTTTCAAGATCCAATTTGCATGTGTGTCATCACCACAAGTGTCCCATTTGCCTCTCCCCTCCCCCCAAACATTGTCATCAGCTGATTCCCAGGTGTAGATCATTACTATGGGGTTATTGTTAGGTTTTGTCTTCTTTGTAGTGGTGTTTGTCACTTTGATTGCCACGTATTTGTCACTTCCCGCGATTGTGGTGCGCTTCTACATATCGTCTACTGACTCGTGGCATCCTAACCCGTTAGAGGTTAGGGTTGGGCAGGTTAGTGATAGGTTAGGTTAACAGGTCAATAAACTTACAAGAATATTAGGGATAGGTTAATAGTTGAACATGTTAATTATTACTACTGTAGTAACATAAGGACTTAGATTAGTTAAAGTAGGGCTTGAGGATAAAATATTCTAACCACAAATACTGAACTACATTTGTGTGATTGGTCAAGTGGCTATATTGCTGGCTTAAAATCTATATGTCGCTTGTGAAATTTGCCAGATAAATCCGGATCCAGATGCCATTTTTTAATGGGCAATCAATTTAAGATGCTAATTTACACGATTGATAGTACCAAGACAAGAATTTGGCCCGTTCACTTACATAAAATATAAAAATGCCACTGGCGTACACACACGCAAAAGCTTTAGGGGTTTGAGCTAGTTACCCCTAACTAGTAGTATTTGGGGGGGGGGGTACGTTAATTGTCGTAAATAATATAACACTTAAGAATGGTTGAAATTAGAATACAACAGTAAGAAACTCTAACAACAAAAAGGGTAGAAAAGAAATCCATGAAATATTGGAATTTAATTTTACTTTCAAAATAGAATTGGTGTTTGATTAAGTTTTTAAGTAATGCCACGGCTTAGAGACCCCCCTTTTACAGCAAAGCTTTTGAAATACCTGTAATACATACTAAAAGACTGTGAATTAAATTTTACTGAAAATCCATATCTAATTTCGAATTCCGCTATCAAATTTTGTACTTTATTTTTTCATGTTTACTCCATCCAAAATGTTTGAAGATGAATTATTTCCCGTAAATCTTAAACACTTCCATATATTCATGGAGCATTCTACCTTCCCGAAGTAACGAGCCGTGAGTAAGTTTGGTAATGGCGACCTAACCACCGACTTTACGGACTGTTTCCCGCCCGGCGCCGTGGAGCGGATAGTAAAAATGAAATTACCCCTAGCTGCAAATGAAATTCGCGGGTGGCCGCAACCGTAGGACTATAGCTCTTAGAGAGGGGCGGGGGGGGGGTTACAGTTCGTAGCCAACGGAGCGATACACACACGAACACACCGGTGACTGCTCCAGCACAAAGACCACAGAAACGCTCAGGTGGCCGGCCGCAAAATGGCGGCCAATAAAAAGTGTCAGTGTTTCAAAACGATGGCGACAACTAAGAATAAACCAATTAAACAGTTTTTGCCGCGACGAGTCTGTTTACAGGGACAATGGGAATGGCGACGCTTTGGTTTTTGCTCTCAATTACGTCTGTTCGGAATTTAGAAATTGTGTGGGGGAATTAATGACTTTATCAGTTGGGGTTTTGGATCTGGATTTTCTACTTACATGCTAGTTCGTCTTAGTGTTGGATTACTTTGATAAATCTACATATTTTGATTGAATTAAACCACTGTATAAAGTATTTAAAGATAAATAATCGGGAAAGCGTTTAGGACGTAAGCGAGTCCAATCTACAATATATTTTGTCTATTTTATATACTTACGTAGGTAAATACTTTCGACATGAAGAAGCTCGCTAATGCATTCACTTGAAATGTTTAAAAATAGTCAACTACTTGCGCTTTAAGTGGAGAACAGTATATATTTGCCTTTTTAAAGCATTATAATTGCTATTATTTTCACAATGATCCTTTGTTTGACTCAAACATAAACATTTCTTAAAAATAAACTGTTTCCAGGCTAGACATTAGACATACGAAAGCAGTCAAATAATAAAAACATTTTTACAAAGAAATGTCTGTTTAATAGCATCGAGACGATAATAGTGCAACAAGACCACCCCATCTGATTATGTAGGGGGTAGAAAAAATCTGAAGTTTGGTAAAATAAAATACAGTAGTTCAGGAAAAACACGTGTGCAACTTTGGAAAGTGTGTAGGAATTTCGTTTGTTTATAATGTTGAAAAAATGGCCACATCTTTAGGCTAATGTAGGAAAACTATAGCTCTTGTTATATTCTTTTCTTAGTATTGAAATTAAAACTATTCGAACTAATACTCAATTCTACCTCAAAATCTAAATCATCGACGCTCCAAATCCCAGCTCCAATGAATAAGAAAACGCGAAATTACTTTTGCATAAATGACCTGTGTAGAATATGTCACGAGCATATTCTACGAAATTTGTACACGAACGAAGTAGTAAAAGGAATCCGTAGTATTCCAACAACTCAACTTTCTAGCCATTTCGTTAAATATTATCTCAGCATACTTGATGAATTGTGTGGAAACGAGAAATATTTTCAACATCAAACAAAACTCCATTGCGTGTGGTATTGCTGACAGCCGTGTTGTAGTCGGGTGGCGACCGAGTCTTATCATCAAGGTCATCAGTTATCAGGCGTTCAAGGTCAAAGGTCGCGACCATTGTTGCTAAGCGGCAAGGCTAGTCATTGTGGCAGTTTTGGAATACAATAGAGGTTAGATCTTGAGTGTCGCAGCGCTATTACAGGTTATCTGTACAAACATAGATCAGTGTTAGCTGTTAGATAACATCCGAACATAGTTTAGTGTATGTAATAGTCAAAACAGTTCAAAGGTTTGTATTTTTACTTAATCTATTTACGAGGAAAATTTATTATATCGTATTTGTGCTGATATGGACTAAGTCCGGAAGCAATGTGCATTTTCACACTGTTGCTAACCAGCCAGATCTTCTGTGTTCCTCATAGCAGAAAATCTAAAATGAAAATAAAAATCTAAAATAATCTGTTGGTATTTGTTTACCGACTTGGTGGTTCTTTTACAATCGCAGGCTATTTGCGGCTTGGATCTAGGAAAACATTTTGTTTAGCTGCGTCGGAAGTATTTACGTTTATTAATGACATTCTCACTTTTATTTATTATATTTAATTTGTTATTCAAGTATATATTTAATAACTCCTTGAAATATACCCTCTTTGAAACATTTGAAGAAATGTTTCATCCAAAAATAATACTTAATAATTTTTACCACATATAAGCTGTGTTTTATTTCAGTGCACTCATGTGTTGCCATCAGTAATTCAGAACTCACGCCACGATGAGTATAGTTTGATACCATAAAACAACTTTCGTTTCCAAATAAATGTCCCTTCATGAGTTTTGTTAATTGCTAAAATATATTCAAGGCGTAAAATGCAAAATGGATACAGTACCACTATTGCCTCTATATATTTGAAGGCGTCGTTTCTTAATGCCCGTAAAGACTACTGTATTTCCTTTTTCGTTGTATATTTTTATAATTTTACATTCTAATTATTTTATTTGCCAGTGTAGTTCTATATCTTGCTTTGAAATTTCATAAGCCCAATAACAATTTTCATTTCCAGTAGTTTACTTCATGAGTGCTTTCATCAATAATTTTTCGCCCATAAACCGCTTCCCAAAACCTTCCTTCACTAGCGTTTGGAATATATTTAGCAAACAGACATTGTTTTCATTTAACGACTCTTAAAGAGACATTAGGAAAATAATTCAAACAAGTTTGGCAATGGCTTGGTTAATAAGGAAAAGATAATTAAATTGCAGTAAAAGCTAAAATTAAAATTAGCTTTTATACGGATTAAAACCAGATAAATCTGTATTTTTGTGTATTTTTTTTAAATATCCGGATTATTTTATGATATAAAAATACATTTTAGTTTGAAGATTTTATTTAGCTGAACACAACTGCGAAAACCCGACTCCAATAGCATGTTTCATTCAGAAGTTATGATTTTTTAAAGTCTAAATTAAATCAATGACATTCCATGAGAGATAAATTTAAATACTCAATGACTATTTCGCGAATGAATGGCGCGTAGCGATAAGGGACCTTTAAACCGATAAGATAACGGAGCACCTCATTCATTCATTCATTCATCTTTATCTCTTAAAATGTTTAAAAATCTACCTTAATTATTGTTGATATTTTATCAATTAATCGCAATGTTGCCATTTTTGACTCGGTTGTCCGTTTGAGGTCGGGTTTGCGGCATTGTTTTTTACTAATAAATACCTTTATT